TGTGTGTGTGTGTGTGTGTGTGTGTGTGTGTGTGTGGCTGACTAGTATTGGCGCTCGTATCTTTCCGGACACGAATTGTGCGAAAAAGAACTAACCACACACACTCTGTTTCTGTCAGTGTGTGTGTGTGTGTGTTTGTGCCTGTGGTACATTGCCAGACGACACAAAGGGACTTAAGACCGCGCGCTTGCGCTGTCGACTACGACATCACTCGGCACTGCTGCTAGTTGCTTTCCTTTGTGTGTCTGCTTCCCCTGCGTTGATGTACTGTGAACTTTTCACAGCCGGTCGACTTCTTTCAGGCCCTCTGCCCAATACAAGTCGTGTACTAAATCGAAATGCGAAGACTTTCCTACCATGCTTTGTATTTTGTTTGTTATTAGGTAGGCGGAGTGTTTCCTTAACCTTTACAGAAAACGTAGGAGGGTACTAACCGGGACAGCGTTTGCGATAAAAAGGTTTGGGGGTCGAGGACTAAAAGCAAGCGAAACGCCTCATAACGACTAGGAATTGGAACTGGCTTGCCACACTTGCCTCTCTTTTTGTGACAGTCAGCCTAAAAACAAGACAAGAATAAAGTAACGGAGATATCCCATAAATCGTCCACAGTCGTATACGAAATGAAATGAAATCGTTATCTTCGAGAGTGTTTTTTTTTTACTTTAGACGGCAGATCTTACTTTCAAAAAAAAGGCTGTATGTATTCCAAACCTTATCGCAAGCAGTCTTTTTTTCACCTTGGTGTGGATGCTCTTGTACATATTTTGAGCTGCATACCGGAAAATGTAATAGAATCTATTTGGTTAGACAAATTGGTCCACCGGTTAATCGTGCTACGTACGTGGAAATCGCCTTTAGATCAACCTACTTTAAAAGAAGTCACCTAAGACAAGCAAACACACTTATTACCATCGGGTAAAGGTGTCCTTCCAAATAGCTCTCTGTGGGCTGACTTCTAAATGTGCGACTTCGTCCTACCTTATCATAGTCAAAGCATTAACAAGAGCAAGCGTAAACCGGAAACGCGTTTGCATTTGTGTTCTAGTAATT